AAAGAAAGAAAGAAATTTATTTTAAAAATTAAAAAATAAAAGAGTTCTTAAAGGTTATAAGGGTCTGAAAATGATTGATCTAGTCAACCCTCTTTTTTCTTAAATGGTAAGGAAATTGAGATTTGATAAAATGAAAAGACAGTCCTATTATTTTATTGTCTAGTTTGTCAGCACTAGAACCCAAGTTTTCTGATGGCTAACCCAATAATATTTCAGCAGTGTCAAGCTTGTACTGTCTGGTTTCAAAGTAAATATTTAATCTCTACATTATTTTTCCCAAGTAGTCTAGTCATATATAATGTGAGAAGCCTGGTAATATTGGAAGGTGTCATTTTGAAGTGATTAGATTTTATACACAACTTTTTTGAGACAGTAAAGATTATGTATGGGGGCTGGCTGCAGTGACTCATGCCTGTAATCCCAGCACTTTGGGAGGCTGAGGCGGGTGGATTGATTGCTTGAGGTCAGGAGTTCGAGACCAGCCTAACCAATATGGTGAAACCCTGTCTCTACTAAAAATACAAAAATTAGCTGGGTGTGGCGGCAGGTACCTGTAATCCCAGCTACTGTGGAGGCTGAGGCAGGAGAACTGTTTGAACCTGAGAGGAAGAGGTTGCAGTCAGCCAAGATTGTACCACTGCTCCAGCCTGGGCAACAGAGCGTGCCTAAAAAAGAAAAAGATTGTGTTGTGGGAACAAATGAGATATTGGAATTAATTGGAAGTGAAGACTGGTTGCCAGATGCCAGAGAAACTAACAGAGTGAACTGAGGATTGTCATAGGTATGTTATTTAATGACTAAGGAATAAAATTTAGCAGAATATGTTTATCACCTTTGACCTGGGTCTTCCCAAAATGTCAAGTTAGCAACGAACAACTTCCTTTTCTTGTTCACTGGGTCTTAATCTTTGTAAAGAGGAAAGAACACTAATTCTATGGTGGTATTTTTCTGGTTTTCCTGCCAATAGAAGACACAATTACGGGAAAATGTTTTTCCTTTGTTTTTCTCTTCTGAGTATACACTCTTCATTTGTTACCTGTTACACAGGACTGGACAGGAATTCAAAATAATTGTTTTACACCTTTCCAAAACTTGATGGCATCTTACTATATTTTACATTTGTATTTTCTTTCATAGCGTCTTTGTTATATATTAAAACTCCTGTTTTTTAGCTAAATGCGTATTTCTTTTTTTTTTTTTTTGGAGACGGAGTTTTGCTCTATCACTCTGCTGGAGTGCAGTGGTGTGATCTCAGCTTACTGCAACCTCTGCCTCCCTGGTTCAAGTGATGCTACTGCCTCAGCCTCCCAAGTAGCTGGTATTACAAGTGTGCATAGAGATGAGTTTCACCATGTTGGCAAGACTAGTCTTGAACTCCTGACCTCAGGTGATCCACTCACCTCAGCCTCCCAAAGTGCTGGGATTACAGGCGTGAGCCACCACGCCCTGCCGAAACTGAAAATTATAGACAGTGCAGTAATGACAAATCCAGCCACCAGACCCATACTTGAAGAAAATGCCCATAATAAATAGCTAATGAATATTCTTGATATGCTTCATGTTAAAAATAAAAGATTATCTCCTTTTATGATTCTCCACTTAAAAAAGATCAGCCACTTTGATTAGTAGGCCAAGGTCTCATCAGGTATGGAAGGCTTTTACTGTTCTATGATTTTCATTACATTGTAGGCCTTTTTAAAAATAATATAGTGATAATCATCCTATTGCAGGTCATAATGGTACCTGTAATCTATATGAGTTCCCTTTGCCTGAGAGCTACATAAAACATGTCTTCTGTATATTTGATATTAAAACTCAATTCTTACTATGTTTTCTTTACAGAACATTCAGAAGATTCTTGGCCTTGCCCCTTCACGAGCTGCCACCAAGCAGGCAGGTGGATTTCTTGGCCCACCCCCTCCTTCTGGGAAGTTTTCTTGAACTCAAGCAGAACTCTTTATTTTCTATCATTCTTTCTAGACACACACATCAGACTGGCAACTGTTTTGTAGCAAGAGCTATAGGTAGCCTTAGTACTTGGGCCTCTTTCTAGTTTTGAATTACTTCTAGGCCTTTTGGGTATGATTAGAGTGAGAATGGCACCCAGCAAACTTGATCATGCTTTTGGTCCTAGATGGTTTTCAAATAAGTGGATTGATTTGTTAAGTTCAGGTGATGTTTATGTAACAAAAAACAAATAGCATCCTTCTTGTTTCATTTACATAAGAATTTTCTTTGGGACTGACTTTCAAGGCCCTATGTATGCCCTGCAAGAGATCTAGAAGAAAAATTTAGTTTGTATAACTCTTAATTGTAACTGTTTGTTGAGTTGTTTTTTTTTTAAGCCAAATATATGACATAAGATCAATAAAGAGGCCAAATTGTTAGCTATTTTATATACAAGGAGAGATCTGTTTCATTTTGTTTTGCCCTATTTTTAGATATAAGTTTTAGCATTGGCCAGGAAGGGCTAAAATAAAAGTTTTTAAGGTACCATACTTTTTGCCATACTTGACTCATGTACTCAAAATACAGAGTTGTCCTGGTGTAGGAACTGGAAAGCAGGAGTGGAAAGGAACGTAATAATTCATGGGAGTTTAAAAACCAGGGTCTTGGCAAGTAACACTGATGTCTGAAAAAAAAAATTAAATATAAATAAATAAATAAAAATGAGGGTCCTCAGCCATTTTCTTCATATCCTATTACAGTCTCTTGGATTCTTGTAGGGGCATTATTAGATCACCCTTGGAGGCAAGGATATAGTTATATGTTGTTAACCTTGCAGAGCTTTCTTTTAGTCACAATAGCCTTCAGTTTCTGCCATGCCCCTTCATAAGGGAAAAGGATATTTGTACCATGATCCTCCCCCATAATCTACGGAATTAGGAGCCCTGTGTGGAGTCCTATCAATAAGTATGCACATTCATCAAATATCTACTTAAATGTGAGTATTCTACTACTGAGAAAAAACACATAATTTTCAAAGTAATAATTGTTAAACCAACAGCAAACTTCTTTCTTATCAGCACCATAAAGTCCAGAAGACAGTGGAAAAATAATTTCACAGTTCTGAGGAAAATAAGTATCGACTTAGAATTTTATTCACAATATTGGAGGCAAAATAAAGACATTTTTGCACATAGAAAACTAAGAGAATTTAATTATTAAAGGTTATATTTCAAGGATGGAAAAGAAAATCTGCCCAAGGCGAAGGTATGGGATACAAGAAACAGTGATCAACAGAGAAATAAAATATATGGATAAATATAAGGATAAATTTAAATGTTTTATGGATTATCTAATTTAAAGATTATCCCAAGACAACCCTACAAGGTAATCACTGTTCTTACCTTCATTTAACAGATGAGGACGCTGGGGCAGGGGAGGTTAGTAACTTGCTTCTCATCACAGAGCTATTGAGTGGCAGAGTCAGAATTTGAATTCAACCATTGTAAAGCCAAATATTCCAGACTGTCAAGCTCTATCTTACAGCCTCCTCATAGGTATGTGGTGATTCTCTTCTCATCACCTCATCTCCTCAATTAGAGTGTGTGAGCTCTCTCAAGTTAGGCTTTGTCTTTTTTGTGTTCTCCTTTTTACAAAGTAGTCAACATGGGTGGGAACATAGCAGGAGCTCAATAAAAGCAGAAAAAAGGGAACAGAAGTCCCTATTTTGAAACTAGTTTCATCAGAAGGATGTCTGATAATGGATGGTGATGACTTTTAATGGTCTTTTCTCCACGTCATTGACCACTCTAAGCAAAATAATAATTTTAATGATAATGAAGAAAATGCTGCTCATAACAATAATGACAAATATGAAATATCTAAAATAAAACATGAAAAGAAACTATCCTCAAAATTCTGCCATCACCTTTTTAAAGTGAGAATGTATAGCACACTCTATCATTCATACCCTGAGGCTTTGAAGTTG